GCCTGCACCGTCGTCTTCTATGCAAACCGCCCCCGCCACTAACGGTCCGATGACGTCGAGTGGCGCAGGCGGACGTAGCGGTCGTTGTCGTCATAATAACGCCACTGCCATTTAATTTATCCAMTTCATCCGCAGCCGTAGACTCCGCTGACGAGGACATCGTCGTAGTAACGGTCGCCGAATCACCAACACTCTTGATTGGCTGTTGTGGTTGCCGATGATGCGGTCGACAGTGACGTTTCCGCGTACTCGTCGACGACGCCACAGGAGCATCGACCGCAGCTAACCGCACCGGCTCTTCGTCACCCCTGCACTCGTTCAAATTTGCAGTCTCTTCTTCTGATGACGAAATGCAGTTGGTCCCTGCGGAGTCTTCTCGGAGGTCGTAGTCATCGTCGTCGTCATCTTCTTCGTCACAGCTAAAAAAAAAGTTCACTTCCGAATAGTCCGGCAGCACTGGTGGCGGCGTCGTAATGGAGGYCACGTTCGACGGCGATGGTACTGTTGCAGTTTGCGATTCCRTGCAGGCAATCGCTGGTGTTTTTGCGGTGCTCAAGGGTGTCTCGGCGGTGGACCGTATCACCAAGATTCCTTTTGTCATCTGCGGTGAAGCAGTTGATGCCATGGCTTTCGAGTGGATTTGATGCTGCAGATGATTTTGCTGTGGCGGAGCTGTAAYTGCGGTTACCACCGCCTGATCAGCGGGTCTCCTGTCCCTTTGCGCGGCCTGCGTTACGTACCGTTGCTGCTCGAGCTTGCCAATTTGCCTGTTCCTGGCCCACAGCTCCGTGTTAACCAGCTGTTGCAGAGACCGTTCCAACCGTCTGCATCGTCCTCGCAGACGCGAAACCTCAGAACCTGCACCCTCATCGTCTACATCTGCGGTCTCGAGTGGTGTGGAAAGTGGCGATTGTTGTGGTGCCGGTGGTGGAGAACGCTGAACGTTATGTCTAGTCGCAGAACGGTCCGCGGATACTATCCGCGCTTTGCACGACGTCTCGGAGTCCGTCGTAGACGCGTCTTGAAATTCGTCGTGGTTTTCATCGTAGTTTTCGTTCGTCTTCTCTTGGATCTGTAGAAAAAAAAAAATTTAAAAATCATAATATTAAAAATAATTAGTGCGTGTAGAATATGCCTACTAATCTTAATAATATATTYGTATTTTTACCGGGTCGTCTGCGGCATATTTTTCAATGTGATTTCGCAGTCGCTGCCACCGCCGTTTGTCGTCGGTGGACACGGACACCGCTTTGGCTGACACTGTGGCTGCTAATAAAGCTAGCAATCGTCGGTTGACGGTCARCAAATCGTGGATGGTGCGCACGGCCGCTTCGGCTGTCGCCTTGGAAGCCGCGTTATTGTGGTCGGTTCCGCTACCGGCGTGGCTACTATTAGCGTCAKTGTCGTCACTSTCGGTATCAGAAATGTCACTGCGCTTCTTCCGGTCCCGTGCGAGTGCGGCTGCTGACAGCCTGTCTACGCGTCGCTCAGCGTTGTAAACGCGTAACCGGAGCTGAAAGTTGTCTGTCCGCAGCTGTTCCAACTCGTCGATTAGCTGTGTCGTGTTGTTTATTGTGGTCRCGGCGGTTATGTTGCTGTTGTTGTTGTACTCGTCGACAATATTGTCACCACAATCGTACGATCGACTATGGTGGCGGCTCCGGTTCCGCATGACGCTCGGATTCGAAGCTTTCATCAGCGGTGAAGCTGACGCGGACGGAGGCGATCGCAAAATTCCACCGGTAACGACGGTCCGACGACATTCCATATCGCGACCACGCTTATTATCAGCTAAAAATTATTAATTCCAATCATTATATTATTACTCGCTTTATAAAAA